CCATCGGTCGAACATATATAATATCTCCTGAAGAAATCTCACAAGCTAGCCAGTCTTTGTATTCCTTTAGATGAAGCAAGATTTAATTAATTTATAAACTATCTTAATTAGACAAAATTTGTCAAGATTTTAAAAATTTTATGATCTGAATTACAAATAAATATCTATAATGCACATTGTAATCGATTAAGTATGATATATATGGTGAATTCCATATCAAATCAACCAAGGTTTCAATCCGACCCCTTCAATTCTTAAATTTTGGGTAGTATATACTATAACTAAGAAAAAAATGAAATTTTACCTTCCAACACAGTTTACCCGCTAAGATATGGCCGTTTTAAGCGCGGAAAATGGTACATTTTTGACAAAATGCACCTCGTTTATTTTCAAATATCTCGAGAAATAATTATGTTAGAAAAATAATTTAAATTTTATTTTGTAGCTTAATAAAAGTTCTTTAAAATGACATAAAAATAAATATCATGGACATTTTATTAATATCGAAAACCGGAAATGGCCATAGAAAAAAAAGGTATTTTTTCAAATTAAATTTTCTGTAGATAGATATCACACTGCTTTATATTTGTACAAAATCCTAGACTGGGATGAACATGGGTTTAGGAGTTATCACTCTTTATATGACTAAAATTGAACAAATTTAACATTAATATCATCATATTTTAATTTAATGAATAGTTATAAAATAATGTCTAAATGATAGGCCCTTACTTTTTTTATCTTTATAAAAAAAAATTGATAGGTGGCTTGGATAATGAGCTTTGTTTAACACTTTAGTTAAATTCTGTCTCGAAGTTACTTGACAAAATAATTCTAAACATATTTATAACTTTATTTGCCTCCATTTGCATTACATATAATACAATCAAAAATTTATAATTAAAATATATCATATATTATAATCATCCAAGATTTTTTAATAAATTATGACTTTTGTTTTCGTCTAGGGGAATAAAATCTTGGAATTATGTGTTCCAGAAATTCTCTTTGCTCTCAGAAATCTGCTTTCAAGATGACTTTCTATGTTCATATATTCATTATTGCTCACAAATATATAATTTACCCCATCGATATTATTTGCATAATTAAATAATTCTATTGTTGTCAATATGTGATGTTCATATGGACGTTGCAAGCTTGCTCGAGCTGCTAACCGTTTAGTAACGGCCCCCAAAATGTCGCATGGACTTTTACCTTGTGCGGTTTAAAATGTCACAGCCTTTATCCCAAAATCATTTTCATGATTGTAGAGATTAATGAAATCTTTTATTTTTTATATTGGTTACTGCTCCATCAGAAAAATAATAAATTTTAGCCACTCTATTAAATCTTTCCTTCAAGAATACGATCAATTTTTAAAATAAATAAAATGCACATGCTTTGTGCTTTAAACAATCTGATATAGCCACTAAATTTACATGTTTTATTATGTTGTTCTCACGGTAATAAATTATAAAAGAGTTGATAGTGGCTTGATTATTGGTCTGATTAAATCCTTGTGCATGGTTCTACACTACAAATGCATAGTTCTCTGAAAAGTCTGCAATAACTAAGAATTCGCCAAAATTGAATTTTAAAAAGTTTCGAATTAATGATTATCGTGAAGCTATAAACAAATTAGGAATTAAATTGTTTAATTATTCAATTAAATAATCTACAAATTCGTCAGCGGATTTTGTCAATGTTTTGAGGGTAGTTCGATCAACTGCTATCCATTGTTTATATGTTTTATAATCTATAGAATTCTCGTCAAATAATATATTAAGCCTTTCTTTTAATTTTGAATATAAGGGGGAAAATTTATTGTTGAATTTCAATTTTGGTAGATTATTTTATGCTAAATAAAAATTTAAAATTATTGTCAATTAATTTAAATTTCGAGATAAAATTTAACTAAAGTTTTAAACAGCTCATTATCCCAGCCACCTCTCAATTTTTTTTTATAAAGATAAAAAAGTAAGGGCCTATCATTTAGACATAAACATTATTTCATAACTATTCATTAAATTAAAATATGATGATATTAATGTTAAATTTGTTCAATTTTAGCCATATAGAGTGATAACTCCTAAACCCATGTTCATCCCAGTCTAGGATTTTGTATAAATATAAAGCAGTATGATATCTATCTATAGGAAAGAAAAATTTTTTTAAAAATACCTTTTTTCGATGGCCATTTCCGGTTTTACACATCCGGTTTTTGATATTAATAAAATGTCCATCATATTTATTTTTATGTGATTTTAAAGAACTTTTATTAAGCTACAAAATAAAATTTAAATTATTTTTCTAACATATTATTTCTCGAGATATTTGAAACTAAATGAGGTGCATTTTGTCAAAAATGTACCATTTTTCCGTGCTTTAAACGGCCATATCTTAGCGGGTAAACTGTGTTGGAAGGTATAATTTCATCTTTTTTCTTAGTTATAGTATATACTACCAGTATACAAAATTTAAGAAAAATTAAAGGGGGTCGGGTTGAAAATCGACTTTTTGTTGATTTGATATGGAATTCACCATATACATTAAAATATTTTTAATCCATAAAAAAAATGAATTTTAACATATTAAAACTATTATATATAGCGCCATTAGTAAACGAATAATATTTGTTATAAATTAAAAATTGGAGATCATATTCATTTCGTAATATTAATTTCAAATTTTCACTGACCATAAAATGACCCATATTTATAAAAAATTAATTTTGATGTTTTCGCCATAATTATCAATTATTGACTTAGCTATTGATATTAGATTCAATATATGATCATATTTAGTTTGAAATTAAAAACTAGTTACATCAGTAAAGAGCAAAAAAAAGACGTTTTTTGCTTTAACTCTGATTATCTCTGCTAATATAGTTGCTAATGTGCTAAAATTTTGTTTATGATTAAATGTGAATATATATAACCAGCCTACAATTTTTTATCGAAATCGAAAGGAGTCGGCCGAAAAGTGATTGATTTGACATGAAATGACCTTATAAGCATATCAAAGTTAGGCAGTATAATGTAAACTTGTATCTAAGATACAAGTTACTTTTGAATCATGAACTTAGTATCTTTTAAACACACGATATAGATACTTTTGATTTAAATTTCCCTTTTTCGTGGATTCTTGTATTAATTTCATAATTCTTTCCTATAGTCATATTTTAAAATGTAGGTAAAATGATACAACAAAAACAACTTAAATCTAAAGCTAACAACAAGATAAAGTAAAGCATATATTTACATTTGAAATATTCATCTAAATGAATAGTTTATCGCCAATTAATATAATTTTTTAATAGAATTAATACAGTCATGGTAGAGGAACTAAAATTATAGAAACAAGTTTCCCTAAATCAAATCCAAATCTTAAAATTTTAGAAGGAAGTTTTTTAAAATTAAAATAGGGAAAAATAAAGGCCAAGCCTGTACAAGCAACCCGATAGTGTTAAACACTTGCCTAAAAATTTTGTTAAATATTAAAATAATTTATTAAATTTAATGATATATATATTTTTTTGCCCTGATTGTTTGCATTTATCTGAATTAATGGATCTTTTAATTTTTGCATCACATAGGAATAACATTTGGAACAAATATTATTTAAAATGTTAAATATGATTGGATCAAATATTCTAAGGAAGATTTATGTGTTTCCACTATATTTTCATTTGATTAAATTGTGTGAATCAATTAAAAATTTAAGATACCATTTATATCTTTCACACAGTATCAATTACATTAGAACAGCAAAGAATCCCAGTTAAATATGCCATCACAAAAGTATATTAGCTCATTTAATACCATTAGCAAATCAGAATCAATAATTATACAAAATAAAATTGACAAGCTAATATGTGTGCTTCTTTCAACACTCTAAGCATAGTTGAACATTGTTAGGAATACAATTTCTAGATGATAATTTAAAGTAAAATATTGTTTTTTTATTTCACTTATTTAGGTTTAAAAAATTTCACAAGGTATGTGGGTTTCATATAGCTTAGAATCATAAAATGATCGGGGGTGGGTTTGGTTGTGTTATTGAAATTGACAAAACTCATGTGTGGAAGTGTAAATATAATCGTGGTCGGCATTTGACCTCGGAGGCTATATGGATCATCGATGGAATATGTAGGGAGACAAATGAAATATTTCTAAGTGCTTCAACAACAATCTAAAAATTATTCCTATCATAATCGCCTAATAATAATTTAGTTCTTTAATATTTATTAAAGAATTAATACTTATGTACAATTACACTGGTCTTGAAATTTATTTATGAGATCTTCATTTTATTATAGTATATCACCAAAAAAAATAAAATGCAAAGTTTCATCTACTTTACCTTGCCTATGCCCCCTTTAAAAACTTTGTAGGCATTATCAACAAAAAAAAGTAGTCACTAAATATTTCTTTATTTATAGGATCTTCCTTTAATTATAGTATTATCACCAAAAAAAAATTAAAATGCAAAGTTAGACCAAAAATAATTTAAAAAGCAAAAAATTTTGAAAAAAAACATTTTAAAAATATCTTAAATAATGGATTGGACCTGGCTTGAAGGGTAGATATAAAACAAAAATTGGATATTATTTTCAAATAATAGGTAACAACTATCATAAGAATAAGATGAAAATTCTCATTCCCAGTCATTTTTGATCAGCAATACTGATTAATGGGAGCTCTGATATTCTTAGTTATATATTTTTGATTTTGTCCATCAAAAAAGGTGGGTCCTAAATGAATATCTTATAAGGTGTGATTCACAAATTTACCTCATTTCTCCTAAATTTTAATATTTTTATATATATTAATAAAGTATATACCATATAACTAATTACCCCTAAACTCCGTCATTCTCTTGACAGGTTATTAGTTAGTAATGTGTATTACCCTAACCAAATGAATGATCAATGAATAAATTTAAATATTAATACCAATTTTAAAAAATTTAATAGAGTAGTTATGTAACAATTATATTACTATTTGTATATGCTGGTTGATTTTTCATAGATCTATATAATGGTTGATTATTTTCCCTTCTGTGTCTATATTGATTTGTACCTAAGTTGTATGTCCTCCTTTGGTATGCAGGAGGCCTAACACTATAAATTTATTTTCAATTAAAATATTTAAAAAGTGTGATTAACTAATTATTAGCTGTTTTGTTATAAAAATTTGATTGATCCCTTTGTTTTTCAACATCCATTTTTTCCCTTTGCAGTCTATAAATATATTATCAATATAACAAGATTTAGACAAAATTATTGCAATTTTTTGAGAAATACTTTAACATGTCCCTCTCACGTTGTTTTCTCAAGAAGACTTGCCTTTGTCTCATATAATAGGAACTATAAGATAATTTGGTAGGTTTGATGATAGATTTATTAATTTTTTTATCAATTTTTTTCTCCTATATTAAACAAGAGTATAATGAGTAAAAATTATAAAATGAGTTATACTCTTGAAATTGAGGATGGTTTTTTATCTTGTGGAAGGCTTTTTAGTTCATTTTTTGCCTTAGATTTACTATCCCTTTTCAGATTTTCATTTTCTTTTGGAACTTTTTTAGCTAGGAAAGAAAAAATTACTTGTAATTTTATCAATATTATATATGCATTCTTTTACAAGTCTTTTGGCTGGTATTTAGCAATTTTATAGTTTTCTTTTTACTGTTCCAGGTGAAGGTTTTGTCATTAGAAAGTTTAATGTGCCTAGTCTTTTTAACTTTGCTATCAACATTCCTAGGAATAGTAGGATCTGATTTGGCCTACATTTTTGTTTGTTATGAAGGTTTAAAATTAATTTTGATAAATACCAAAGATATTGATATGACATTGCCATTAAATTCAGTTTTGTCCAATTTTTCGAGGCATACAATTGCTTCTTCGTGACTAGACATAGTAATAAAACCAAAACATTTAGATCCAGGAGTTGTTGATGTTGAAATTACTTTAACCCCCATAACCTAAAATATTTTTTGAAAAATTACTTTGCTCATTAGTTTTTAAATATGTGAACACAAATATAAAATATTTTTATTCAAAATAAAAATAAAAAATTTTTTAAAATAGTACTTTTCCATATTTATCAAAAAGTTCTTTCAAATCTGCAGCTTTTGTAGTCAAAACTAATTCCTTAACCCATATATTTTGACTTTTTCTTTTTGCTTCTAGTAAAAAAAAATCATAATAATAGTTAATTAATGTTACCAGAAGCTTTATGGGTTGTATTTATACTTAACAAATCTTCTTGTGAAGTAGTTATATTTGCTCTAAAATGTTTTAAAATAATGAGTTTGTTGTTATGTTGAAAATTGATGGTTGATAAATTTTATCCTTATATTTAAAAGATTTTGATTCAATTATCTCATCATTCAATTTTGAGTAGAATTATTCTTATATCCTTTTAAACAATTTAAGATCTTATTTTATGGCTTGTTGTTGTAGATTATGTAGCTAGCTATATTTTCTTCATATTTAATGTAAACTAATGATGTTAGATTTTGTTGATTTATCCTTTAAGTAAGATTCTGGTTTTTAAAAGTACTTGTTTAGAGATATGTGATATAATTAAGGATTCTTTTGAATACTAGCCTATATTTTCATTGTAATAGCTGAGAAATTGTGTAGATATTTAAACTTTATCAAGACAAGATACTGATTCTGAAGTTAGATATCTGTACTAATCCATTTAGAAAAAATTTTACATAATTTAGTTTTGCTCTTTTTGAGTTTGAAAAGAAAATTTTCTGTGAAAGAAAATTTAGATTCATTATTAGAAGTTTAAAAAGTATGGTAATCCTTGAGACTAAACATTTAGGACATAAATTTTAAAACTGAATTTATGTAAAAGTAATCTTGAATTCTTTTAGATCCAGAGCAAAATCTATCAGGAAACATTCCAATATTGGACATTTAAATTTATATATTATTTCATAAACAACATATAAATTCAGGCTCAATAAGTTTAATGAAAATAAATAATTTATGTCCATATAAATGTGATGCAATACATGTATATCTTATACTTTTCAGACAAGTTTAATGAATCTCTAGTTGAATTAGTATTTGTTTCTAATTTCTCATTATGTTCCTTGTCCAGTAAAGAGTTAATTGGTGTAGCTCTGTGAAGGGTTGTAGAATGTTCATTATTAATATCCAAATCTAAAACATTCTGATTTTCTTCAATAACATAGGTCATTTCATCAACTTGATGATTAATTGCTTTATCTGTTACTTTTTTAACATTATTAATAAAATTTCCTATAATGACGTTATTACATTTAAATATTTCGTTATTTTTTTGCACATTGCTTAATTGCTCTAAAAAATATATTAAATAGCTTCGCATAAAGAAAATTAAACCTGCTACAAATATATGTTGTTCCATGACTTCTTCCTATTTTAGAGAACAGTTTATACACTATATATTATATTTTACTTTTTCCATTAGATCTAGGCTAAATTTTAGAATAAAGATGGCAGCTGTTAAATAATTAGATCAAAATTTATTTATTTTAAAATATTAAATATAATGTATTACTTCTTTAAATTAAATCAAAATAATATAATATAGATATTTTAAATGATGTAAAATAGGGTTAATCAAGGAGTATATAATATTTAAGCTTTATGCTTTGAATTATTGATAAGGGTTGTATAATATAATAAAAAATTTACAACACTTTATAAAATACAAACCGAACTTGCTTGATGAATGATGATAAATCTTTTTATTATAAAATTCTCTCCCCATGTCTTAAAAAGCTACTATAATTACTTGATCTTGCAACTGATCGGCATGTATACTAATAGTTCATTATTATAGTGTTATTAAACGGCCTACTTTGCGTCAATTTTTAAGCCCGATAAGATTTTGGCCAATATAATGTGAGTCTTAAAACTTGGCAAATAGTGAACCAAATCTTTCTTCCATTCTACATATGCTATGCATGGCTTAAATAATATTATTTTGGCTAAAATCTTAATCGGGCCGTTTTTAAAACCCAAATAATCGGGCCATTTAAAACACCAGTTTTATATACAGAATCAAAAATATATGAATAATTAAAATTTCTGAAATCCTTCCTTTAGCCTTAAGTACCTATGTTCTTTACATAAATCTGTTACGAATCAGTGTTGTTAAACAGCCCAATATAAGTCGATTTCCAATTAAAATTCAGCCATAATAATATTATGCTAGCCTTGAGATTTTGCTCATATATGGCAGAAAGGGTGTGTCTCTATAGCTTATCAATCTCATACTGAGTTGTTAACGCTCCTTTTTAAAAGGAGCTAGCTCCCGCTTCCGCCTTCTCAAAAGGAGCTAGCTCCCGCTTCCGCTACTACATTTTTAAAAGGAGCTAGCTCCCGCTCCAAGTAATGGAGTGCCACTCCATAACCGCTCCTTTGATTTTCATTTGTTTAGAAGGTATACGAAATAAAATCTTATTTTTTTTTATCAAAAAGCTTAATTTATATTAAATTATTAATCAAAATATTTATAACCTTTTATTAGCTTCTAAAAGTAATAAATTTTAAATTAGAATCTATCAAACATCCCCGCCTCTCCCCTAAGACCTGTTTTGAAATACTAAATATCAGAGTTGTTAGATTTTAAATGGATCTAGATACAGATACATCATCTAAAAATTTATCTAGATACCGATACAGCTTCTAAAAAGTTATCTTGATACATACAATTTAAAATGTATCTAGGTACAGATACATTTTAAATTATACTCTTAGATAAGGTTTGAATAAACCTAAATTAGGATTCTATTGTGAAAATTCATGAAATGATCTTAAAAATTTTTTGAATCGATATCACATTTATAAAAATATAACTAAAATAATGATTTTTAGATATTAATATAATATATGATTAATATAATAATTATTATATATCATTAATAAAATAATATAATATACGATTAAATGATTATAAATAATTATCAGATTTGTCAGTAACAAAATATTTTCAAAATTTTGGTCATTAAGGCATCCTCGTTTATCTGTAAAGACATTTTTAGCTATATTAAAAAGGATTGTGGTGTTATATCTAATGAATAACATTTATATAAGGATATTGTTTAAAAATACTAAAATCTCGGCATTCATTTTTGAAAAAACTATTTAAAATTTGTTGATTATCATAATTTAAATTATATTTACTAATTTTTTAAATTTTTCTTAAATATGTAAAAAAATATTTATTAATTTTTTACATTTTTCTTAAATAAAAAAAATGTTTAATGCATCTAAGATTTATATATAAAAAAATGTTAAAAAAAACCCCCGGAAATAAAACCCGGAAAAAACCCCCGGAAAAAAAATCCCAGAAAAAAAACCCCATAGAAAATAAACCCCCGGAAAAAACTAAAAAAAATTTTCCAATTTATATTTTTATTCCCATTTTTGTTTTAACATTTTAAAACTTTATTTTTCTGATCTTTTCTCAATTTTTTTCTAAAAAATATATATGATTCAAAATAACTCATTTTTAAGATACGGGAAACGCCAGTACTATAAGAGCAAAATAATTCTGGATATTTTTATTATTTCCATTTCTAAAATATAAAAACTGAACCGGTTTAACTTTTTTTTATAAAAGTTCTTTTTACTCCTTCAAAAAATAATTATATAGGTTCGGTTACGGTTCAGATATTTATAATGGTTTAACGGTTCACTCCGGGTCCCTCATTTTTATAAACCTTATTTTAATTTTATATATAATAATCGGAAAAAACTTGAAAAATAAAATTTTTTAATAAATGTAAATGCCATTCTTATTTTTTTATAGAAAGGCGCTAATCGGAAGAACGAAATATAGTTCTTGTTATTTTATTTCATTTTTAAAATTTAGCAAATTGCTTATTTAAATTTTTATTCAAATTGAGTGGCCATTATTTTTATTTCTCGATATACTATAACTGGAAGTAGTTTGTATGGAGCGTCAAATTGGTTTAAAAGGAAATTTACTTTTATCTTCGCTTAATATAAATGGCTTAAAAAGTAAACTAACGATTCTTCTTAGACTGATGGCGGAAGAGAAAATGGATATAATTGCCATACAAGAAACCCACTCTAAGGATAATAATATGGCCAATTTTAGTAATTTCATATTAAACAGTTCGGGCACTACTTTAAATAGCTGGTCAGGGATCGCCTTTTTGATTAGTAAGAGAGTACACAAATTTGTAGATAAATTTTTACCCATTTCTGAAAGATGTGGTTTGCTGTATCTAAAACCTGGTTTAAACGAACGATCCTAATCAATGTCTACGCCCCTCCTCACAGAAGTGATAGGCTCTCCTTTCTAGACGATCTTGAAAACATTGTATGCTCACTCCCTAGGAGCCGCAATCTGATAATCTTGGGCGATTTAAATATCAAAATTGGGAAGGAGGAGTCCTTTATAACTGATGGAGTAATTGGAAATGCGGCCATCCCACAGCCAAATGGTGAGGATAGCAGGAAGCTTTTGGATCTGTGTAAGAGCCTAAACCTTAAAATTGAAAACATCTTCTCCATAGTGAAAGAAACACATTAATCTATAGGAGAAATAATATCACCTCTCAAATCGATTTCTTTATTTCCAACATTCATGGCTGGTTTGCCGATGTTAGGGCCTTGCTAAACATTAATATTTCTGATCATAAGCCAGTCAGAGGAAGTATCACCATAAGAAATTTATGGGGCAACTCTAGATGACTAGCCATCTCAAATCAACCTAGTCCTCCCCCCTGGATAATAAAAGCAAGGAATCTACAGTGTTCAGAAGTTAAGCTCCTTTTAGTCCAAAACTTAAGAGCTAGGATGGCTAAATCATGGTTCATCGGAATCAGAATCCACGGAAGAATGTTGGTTGTCCTTTAAAAATATTTTATTTGGAGCTTGCAACGATCTCCCAAGCATTAACAGTCCTTCCAGAGACATGAATGGCTATCCGAAGACACCATTCTGATGATAGCGGAACTAAAGTCAAGTGAAAAACGGGATGGCAACCTTTGAACTACGATTCATAGGCTTATTAGGAAAGATAGAAGGATCTACATTGCAAAAAAAGCATTTGAGATTGATAGAGACATGAAGGACAACAGGACCTTTGATGTTTATAAAAAGCTTAAACACTTCTGTAGCGCTAAAGTGTTTAAACCTCTCCCGTTTATCAAACTAGACAATAACTTCCTGATTACAGACCCAGATGAACAGATCGCCCTTTGGTTGGATCATTATATGAAAATCTTTGATTCCAAGAGGCCATCCTTATTCCCTTCCTCTAGTCACAACATAGAACCACCTGACGCAAACTTTACTGTGGCAGAAATAACTAAAGCCATTAATAGGCTTAGGAACAATGAATCCCCAGGTCACGACAACATATTGGGAGAACACCTAAAAGCTGCCCCGTCAGAGGTCTCCCAGCTTTTGCTGGGGTTGTTTAATAAGATTTGGCATACAGGGAAAATGACAGGAGATTGGAACTTAACTATCTTTTACAATTTCCCTAAAATTCCTAACCCTACTAAATTTAAAGATTATAGAGCGATTGCCCTTACCTCGATAGTATTAAAAGTCTTTATGATCCTTTTAAAAAACCGAATCCTAGCATTCTCCCCTAACCTATTATCCAAATACATTTGTGCATATTGCCCAAACAGAAATATAAACGAGCCAATCTTGGCGCTGAATATAATTGTACAAAAGTGTGAAAAATATAAATTACCTTTTTATTTTATATTCATTGATTTCAAACGCGCTTCAGGCAGCATCACTCATGATACCTTGTGGGCTATCCTAGTGAGATGCGGTATAGAAGCCAATTTCATCAAGATTTTAGAGATGCATTATAATAATCTCATGGCTTCATTTAAATTCTTAAATAAAGTTTCACCTCCTTTCAGGACAAAAAAAGTTAAGGAAGGCTGTGTCACCTCTCCACTACTGTTCAATATAGTAATGAATAGAGTAATTACTGATACATTAGGGGGCGAATCTTCTAGAACTTGGATCCAATCAGCCGTGGTTTTTGGAAAACAGGGCGATTAGTTATGCTGATGACTTGGTCTTGATTGCAAAAAACTTGGAGGAGGCTAACAATTTGGTCTTGATACTAAACACTTTTAGTCTTAAGGTTGGATTAGATATTAACTTCGATAAGACTGTAATCATGCCATCGTCTCATGCTCTTCCTCTGGGAGTTTGGTTAGTTGGAGGAAAAGTTGTCAAAGTAGTGTCTTCTTATAAATATCTTGGAGTGAACATCGACAATAAAGGCAGTTATAAAGATGAACTGAGATTCCGAATTCAGAATGCTAGAGCTGCTTTCTACAAATATTCTATGGAGAACTAGGGAGATATCGGTGTTCACTAGGCTAATAATTTTCAACTCTTCTATCATTCCAATCCTCCTTTACGGGGGTGATACATAGGAGATAACTAAGACAGAGACAAAGAGATTGCAAACGTTTGTTAATAAATGCTTAAGAATAATCAATGGCGTCTTTTACCCCAACATCATTTCGAACGACAACCTTTAAGGGGGTCTAAACATACTCCGGTACATGTAACTCTAAAGAAAAAGCGTATAACCTTCTTCGCGCATATTCTGAGGAATCATACCAATAACAGCTTAGTCCTTGATGCCATAAATTGATCCTTCAACGGCAAATCCTATGGAAAGTTTAAAAGATTATGATACTATAGGGCAATGAAATACATCATGGATATGAACTTAAACACTAAACAGTTTCTAAGGCTAAATAAGAATAAGAGATCAATAAAGAAACTGCTTAAAATCAAATCAAATTATATAAATCTCCCATAAATTTCTTCTTAAAACAGGTTATTTTACTATATCTTTTTATCTCCTCTTCTCCTTGTCTACTTTTCTTTTTCTTCTCAATCTTACTTCTTCTTTTCATATCCATAATAACAATCAAGCCATAATGCCTTTTGTTAATCCTGGCCAACAATCACTTTTCTATTTCCTAACACTTACGGTGGTTCCTATTTCTGCGTCATAGTTCTTTTCTCTCATATCTTTATCAATATCAAAGACCTTTTTTCGCTATTTAATCTATCTATCACTCCGTAGAGTATTTTGTTTCTCTAAAAAAAGAGGAAAAAAAAAACCTTTGTTGTGTGGTGTTCGTTGCTGGATAATCATAAACCTATTACTGACTAGTTTTTGTCTATTCACTGGAATTTTCACCTATTTAAACAATTAGCGGTAAACCCATTAGCTTTTTCTTATTTTCATGAATAAATTCTAATTTCAATTGATATGAACACATTCTCAATTATTGGTAGTAATTATCAAGGCTTACATTAAAGATGTTAAACTTAAACTTAGCCACCACTCACCCTTAAAGATGTTAAACTTAAACTTAGCCACCACCCACCCTTAAAGTAATTAAATTATTTTTGCAGTTCTTGGGTATAGGCTTTTGTTTTGCCCATTTCTTTTTGTCTATTAGCCTGTAGACGTTTAAGCAACAGTTCTCGAACTGTTGCGCGTACAAGTACGTGTGGCTTGCCCACAAACGTGTGAAGGGCTCCTCATTTTTTCTCCCCTTAATTAACTATCCAGTTTGATGGATTTTTGAGGAAAACCTAGCGTAGCTCTGTTGTATCCACAACCAGAGGGCGAAAACGCTTTTATCACGTATCAAGTAATAAGAAAATTTAGTTTACAAATCTCAAACCAATTAATAAATATTTATTTTTTATTGAAATTTTTTTATTTGAAATATTCTCTTGTTATTTTATTACATTTTGTTTTATGTAAAGTGCTTGTAACAATTTTATTATGAATATATATATACTTGCGATGGTGAATGAATATGATACTTAGTGTTGTTAAACGGCTCGATTTGAGCTGATTTTTAAAAACGGTTAACTCAATATTTAAGTCAGAAGTATTTTATGCAAAACTGAAGATTTTGGTCATTGATAGCACAAAGGTTTATACATCGATTAGCGAAGTCTCGATAGGTTTGCTCATAACCTACTAGCCGTTAATTCTGCTGATATGCCGTTTAAAGACTCTTAATGTTCAATTAAATGGCTACACATTGGCATATGTATCGCTAATTGCACCTTACTTTTTATAAATAATTCCGCCTATTTCCGCTTCTCAAATAAGCAAATATTTCTCGCTTGTGGTTAATGATACGGATATCCCGCTTTGAGAATATTAAAGCACAAATTGAATACTAAATAATTGTCAAGTTTCGAAAGTTATTCTTAATTTTTTTCGGTTTTTTCTTATTTTGCTCATAACTCACTAGCCGTTAATTTTGCTGATATGCCGTTTAAAGATTCTGAATGTTCAATTAAAGGGCTACACATTGGCATAAGTATCGCTAATTACACCTCACATTTACAAAGAATTCCGCTTTTCCGCTTCTCAAATAAATAAATATAACTCGGTCACGGTTATACGAATATCCCATTCTGAGAATATTAAAGCACAAATTGAATACTAAATAATTGCCAAGTTTCGAAAGTTATTCTTAATTTTTTTTGGTTTTGACAAAGTGCCAACACTTTATTATTTTGCTCATAACTCACTAGCCGTTAATTCTGCTGATATGCCGTTTAAAGATTCTTAATGTTCAATTTAAGGGCTACACATTGACATATGTATCGCTAATTGCACCTCACTTTTTATAAATAATTCCGCCTATTTCCGCTTCTCGAATAAGCAAATATTACTCGCTTGCGGTTAATGATACGGATATCTCGTTTTGAGAATATTAAAGCACAAATTGAATACTAAATAATTGTATTCAATTTAGAAAATTATTCTTATTTATTTTCGGTTTTGGCAAAGTGCCAACACTTTCTTATTTTGCTCATAACTCACGAACGGTTAATTCTGCTGATATGCCGTTTAAAGATTCTTGATGTTCAATTAAAAGGCTACACATTGGCATAAGTATCCCTAATGGCACCTCACTTTTTATAAATAATTCCGCCTACTTCATTCTTCTCAGATAAATAAATATTATTCGCTTGCGGTTAATGATACGGATATCCCGTTTTGGGAATATTAATGCACAAATTGTAAACTAATTAATTGACAAGTTTCAAAAGGTAATCTAATTTATTTTCGGTTTTGACAAAGTGCCAACACTTTCTTAATTTGCTCATAACTCACGAGCGGTTGATTCTGCTGATGTCCGGATAGAAGTGCTATTAGGTGCAATTAAGGCTCTAAATAATGGCATAATTTTTGTTAATTGCACCTCAAGTCGTTCTGCCAACTTTACGTTTTTTAAATAGGTATAGCTCGGTTACGGTCAGGGTTGCCATGTCTCCCCCCCATCAGTGGGAGTCTCCCACAATTTTTTAGTTTACCCACATACATCTCACTCCCACAAAACTCCCACAATTAGAAATCTCCCACAAAAAGCTTCCACAATTTTTTAATTTCTCCCACAATTTTTTTTTAGCATTTTAATGTTTTTAATAAATAAATAATAATTTTGAGAGACAGTATTTGATTATTTTTATATTTTTAAAATAAATCTTAAATATTTATTTGAAAAATATGTCTAGTTCTTTTATTTATTTTTCCGCTCTAAAATATATTTTTTATAAAATTCTCCAATTCTCCACTCGACATTTTCAAAATTTTTGTGTTAGAAAGAATAGAAGTTAGAACAGTATGTATAATTATTATAAATATATTTTAAATTACTTAATATATTTTATATCGTTATCTAGAATTGCAGTAGTCCACTCGACATTTTCAAAATTTTTGTGTTAGAAGAATAGAACTTTTAGAAGTGGATATTTAATCTCTAATTCTTTTAAATAAAGTTAGTGGATGAATAATATTGATTAAATAATATTTTTCACTACTTACTTTTATACTATTCCATAAATTATATGTCAAGCAAAAGATTATAAATATAATTGATATATTATTCAATTCAACAATAGCTCAGTTATAACAAACGACAATCTACCAAATATTATCATTTTAAAAATATGCGTACCATCATGCAAAATGCATATGCTATCTGTCATCACAATGTGTGTCGAATCTTTTCTCCATAATATTTAACGACTCCAAAATAAGTGCTAACTTTACTTGTGGTAGGACAAAAATGAGCAAGGCTATCACAAATGTGTTAGGACCTGAATCCAAGAGGTCAATACTAGACGATTTGAAAGAAGGACATCCTTATGCTACTTTAACAGATGCATCAAATAAGGGAAATATTAAAACATTTCCCCTGATCCTTCGCTATTTCAACAAGAATAAGGGCATTTCTATAAAACTATTAAAATTTTTTTCATCCGATTGTGAAAAATCCAATGATATAGCTAACCACATAATGGTAAATATAGCTGATTCAGGGTTATCAATGAGTTGCATGTCAGCTTTCTGCGCTGATAATGCCTCTGTTAATTTTGGCAAAAATCAAAGTGTATTTACCGAATTGAGGCAGCACAATAATGAATTAATACCAATTGGCTGTATATGCCATATACCATAATTCTTGCAAGAAGGCAATGTATGTACTATCTGTAGATGTCGAAGTAATTGTGATGAAATGTTTTAACGAATTTAGTTCATCAACTAAAAGAGTCACTGAATTAAAAGAATTGGTGGAGTGGTCTGATTTGGATGTACCTATCAGGTGGTTATCATTAATACCTGCCATCGAGAGAATTTTAAAATTTTACGAACCCTTAAAGAAATACTTCTTAAATAAAGATTTTAAAAGCTGTCCTAAAATTTTGAAAAATTTTTTCGAGGATGAAATGTCAGAAGCATATTTGGGATTAGTTTCACATGTAGGAAATCTACTTCATGTAGTTAATATTCAGTTGCAATCAGAAGATTCTTTATTGGTAAAGATTCACAAAATCATGCTACAGCTCTGTTCATCTCTACAGTTAAAAATAGATAATAAATTTTATGGCGCTATTGCTAAAAATATTATATTAAAATGTTCAAATAATACTCTAGTTAATACATTTTTAAATGAAGCAGATATTTTTATTAAGACAATTTTAGATACAATCAAAATTTGATTTTAATACTCTATTTACAAATGTTTAAATATTATGACCTTGGAATAGAAACCATCATTTGATGGTTTTTGTAATTTAATAAATATATTAAAATTACCGATAGACATTGAAGCCTTGTTTGAAGAGATTGTAATTTTTTCCATTTTTTATGATTCGCCAGAATACTTAAAGTTAGATGGTCTAAAAGCAGAGGAGAAATGGGTGGAATTTTTTCGTAATAACGATAAATCCCCATGCTTGGAAAAAATTTGTGAGTATGTTTTCTCCTCTCATTCTCATTGGAGCGCATTTTTAGCCTGA